TCTCGTGTACCCACATTTTATGTAAATTTGGGGTAAGAAGTGAAGTTGTTTGTGGAAGGTGGTGTATGTATTATTCATCATTTCTGCCTCAGAGACTGGGTTACCACATTACTTCAGTAGTGAGGCGATCCTTAGGACGCCAGAATTGTATTTCCCAACCTTTTGAAAATCCTGGAACCTTAGGTTTTTCCACTCTTCCAGAGCGTGAGGGAGATTGACTTCCTTCTGGTTATCAAATCTTTCTTTCAAAGCTTGCCACAGTTCAGCTGGGTTTTCTATGCTTGTATAGTCATGCGTAACATTTTCATCAAGGTGTTTCTTCAAGAAAATAATCGCCTCAACCTTTTGTCCAGGTGGCGATTTGTTACCGATTACAATCGTCTTAGTTAACTTTTTCATCACCAGATAGGGTTTCACGTTTGTGACCCACCCAATATAGTTTTCCCCGGTGATTTTGAGGGCCGGCAACTGAAGATGCTCAATTCTTACCATTTGTATTTCTAAAATCTACAATATAATAAATTTTATTAGAACTTCATAATATTTAAAACGAACTGTTTACATTAATCATGCAAGCAATTACAAGGAAAAACACCGCATAGAAAAACAAAACGAGATTCATGTTAAATTCTCTCGGAGTAAATTCTCCAACAAAAAAACGTACGTACAAGCAAAAATTACAATTGTACATAAAACTAAAAGCAATCGCATCATCTTTCTTCACAAGAAAAATCGGGAGAAACTTATTTGAAAGTATTTGAGAGGAGATGAAATACTTTGATGAATTGAATGAATGAAGGATGAGTATATTTATAGATGAAAATTACTGTTTATAGCCGTTGGAAAAAGGGTAAAATTTTTGAAAATTTTCTTTGTGACCGTTGGTGTTAAATTGTTTGAACCGAAAATCAGTATGAAAATATCGTAATAAGCAGTCAACCAAATTTAATAAATTTTATAATATTTTATATAGGTGACCAAATATTTATATATGATCATAATATAATTAACAAGCAATTATCAGTAATATTATTGTGATAAAATTATTTTGATTAAAATATTAAACAAATTATGCGGCAGCACAGCCAAGCCAATTATTATGGTGTAATTAGCAATCAAGGTTTATTAACGAGGCGACATACCGTCTGCATTAATATCTATACATAATAGTAAATTAAAGCAATCATTATACAATAATAAATAGTAATATAGACGGTAAACCGGCTATTATATCAGAATAAATATGATACATATAAATTTTACCAAATCACAGAGTGATCGTGCTAATAACGTATTATAAAATAACTTATAATTTTATAGTATCTTGAAATTTGAATCAGGGTGAAATTTATATCCGTAGAAAGAGTTAATACTTAGACTAGATGCAATGGAGCTGTTGAAACTTTTTTTCAACAGTTGAATACCCACATTGAGGATGTTGAATAATTTATGAAAATGAGGTGGATTCATTTCAGTTGAATTTATTCAACGGTGTTGAAAGAATAAATTGGAACCCACCATAACATCTTTCTTTCATTCTCAGCCGCACAAAACACAAAAAGTTGTCGACACCAGTTTTGTCTTTTTTTCTAAAGATAAAATCTAATTGGTCCAAGTGTCAGCAAAGTATTTGCTTTTTTTGATTACATGGATTTGTTTATGTCATCCAGATTTTCAAAATCAATTATCTTCTATTATATATTTTTTTATAAAAATTATATCATAATTCATAACTTTTTATACTTTATAAATAGAGACTTGGTTCATTAGATTTGGACACAAGAAAAAAACTCGTTTTTAACTATACACTTGATATTATTCTCTTTTATGTCAAAATGGATCAAAAAATAACCCTTTCAATACTCAATTATTTAGAAATATAATATTTCAATTATTTATGTTTATTACACTCGAAATATTTAATATGTAGTTATTAAAACTGAAAAAGATAAAAATAATAATTTAAAAATAGTAGGGTAGGGTGTTGAATTTTTTTAAACAAAGCTATTGTAGAGGTTAAATATGAAGTGGGTGTTGAATAATTTGGTGAAAGAGAGAGAAGATGATGTGGACTGTGAAAAGGAGAAAAAGAGGGTGTTGAACAAAATCAACCATTGTTGATAGTCTTATATCAGGTAAACTATTACAGAGAGAAATTTATACAAGGGGGGGGGGGAAAGAAGAAGTAAGGTACGAGTTACAATTGAACGAATTCATTCGTTTATATAGAGAATAAAAAGATAAAATTACTGTGCGTGCATAGTGACGTGGACTCCACATATTAATTATATGCATATACAACGTCAATGTTTCGGTGCAGCTAATATTGATGTTGCTTCTTCTTCACTTTATCACGTTTATAACAGTTTTAATATTTTATTACTTAATATAAACTAACAATAATCTCTAAAAACAAGGGAAAGGTTATGGCTACATCAGAAACTAAAGAATGTTTTTCATTTTATTCACTTTTTTCAGTTTCGATTTGGTTTTAATAAGAGGTCTACAGTTAAGCTGTAAAATGCAAGCAAAGATCTCGGTTTTTTTTTTTTGTGGAATGTAATTCAACTAGTTTTTTCAAGAGTAGACTGCACATCATGTTTCTGTTTATACATGTAGGTTAAACCAAAAACAAGATAGATTTGAGTTCAAATGAACTTATTGAACTAGAAATCTAAGATTAAAGATAGATAGCTCATGAAGAGCTTTATTGAGTACAAGAAAGTAAATGAAAGATGGAAACTTTAGTTTGTCGTCGAGAGATTAAAACATAGATTGATTCATACAAAGATAAGAGGAAGAGAGTTGATTTGAGGCAACTCCCAAAGGTTACATTCTTGTTTTCATAAGAGCTATACTTATATAAATCTACTTGCTTGGAAACCCTAAACATTTTGGGCTTTCTTTTGACATTTGGAACACTAATGGACTTAAGTCTTGGATGCTCTAATAATACAGACAATAAAGTTCCAATATTTTTAGAATATGATGACGGTTTTGAAATTTCTGTATTGAAAATGTGAAGCTGAGGATAAAAACTTCTTGTAATTCGAGATCTCTAATCGTTACGGTTGGGTAATAAGAATTGTTGTCTCTCAAGTTTCACTAGATCTAAAGAAAATTTTGATAACTTACAAAACTAAAACCCTAATCTTATATCTAATTGATACAAATCGTATTCTAGGAAGAAATCACAATACCTTTATGCAAGTATGCAAAAAGTAGCCTTTTCATCAAATTTATTAAAAAGAATCATCCTTATTATTTACCCCAACTCTGATGTAGATAAGTATTTGGAATATTTTCAAAAATCTTATTTTTATTTTATTAATTATTTGGATAGTTATCTTTATTATTTTAGGATTTTCTAGAGTTTTATGGTTTTCTTATATATAGCTGTTTAGGCTTAATAGTTTGTATGAAGTTTATGATTTGATTGATAAAAGTTAAAGGGTTTTTCTCTTTGTTCCTTGTTTTCGGTAGATCATAGGTGATCTCAACGAATTTAAGAAGACTTTGATCCTAGGTATTCTCAGAATAAATAGGATTCATTGTGTTATCCTAGTTTTTCGGGTATTCTCAGAATCAACGGATCTCTAGTCCTATCTTTTAAAGCTTCCGCTACATCAATAGGTATCAGAGCTAGGATAGGACTAGAGATCCGTTGATTCTGAGAATACCCAGAAAACTAGGATAACACAATGAATCCTATTGATTCTGAGAATACCTAGGATCAAAGTCTTCTTAAATTCGTTGATATCACCTATGATCAACCGAAAACAAGGAACAAAGAGAAAAACCCTTTAACTTTTATTAATCAAATCATAAACTTCATAAAACTCTTAAGCCTAAACGGTTATATATAAGAAAACCATAAAATTTTAGAAAACCCTAAAATAATAAAGATAATTATCTAAATAATTAATAAAATAGATAATAAGATATTTGAAAATATTCCAAATACTTATCTACATCAAACTTTAACTTGGAATATTACTTAATTTGTCATTAGATTTGCATTTTAAAAAATAAATGATAATTACATAATTTTACCTACATCGTATGCAACAGAAACATTACTGTAAAATGTGAATCTCCACTAACCTCCATGGATCCCACGCCACTACTAATCCCTCGCACGTGCACCAACTCCCCTTCACGTTTTCATCCCCTATCTAATTCCCTTAACTAGGGGCTACGCAATCGCGGGGATATTGACATTACATGTGTTGTAATTTTTATAAAATGTAATAGGAGGTAAAAGGTGGAGGCAAGTGTTTTGTTTAGTATAGTCCTGGTGGTTTACAATAGAAAATAAAAAGTTTCATGTATTATTAATGAAAGGAAACCCATATAATGTATGGTTTTAGTAGATAAAGTAGAAGTAGAAGCGTGGTAAATTACAGATCAAAATCCAAGAATCATCATCGAGAAAAAACCATCTCAATATCGTCTTGATGAACTGAAGGTTAAGTCATGGCGCAAGTAAGATCAATCTCTATCTTTGCTTTTTTTTTTTTAATTCTTTATGTTAGGTTGTGTGAGATCGATATGAGAACAAATTAGAAGATTTCATAACTCATAGGAACAAACGAAAATTATTCTTATTATTTGGGTTTTTTCTGGTTGGGGAACGAATGTGGGGATGTTCACCAGGGAAGTACCATTTGAAATATGAAGCATAACAAAGACCATTTGAACTACCGAATGTGGGGATGCCGACGAAAAATAAGGAATGAGAAGAAATTACAAATATAATCTTAAAAACATTACATTCTGGTATGACACAGGTCAAGTTAGATGCAACAACAATGTCGCTGCACCAATCCCAAATCAAACTTTAAAGAAAATCTGCAAAGAGAAAACCTGTCTGCAAAAGACTATTTTAATAACCTGTCTGCAAAAGATTATTTTAATACTTCATGCTACTGGTAATTTTTATGTTACGTTAATGGAAAGAAATCAACCTAAGAGATATTAAATCATCTTAGAAAACACTATTAGTCATATAAAATCTCCCAATCTTCTTCTTTGGACATGTCGATAAACTCGGTAACACAATCCTAAAAAATCACCAGGACCAAGTTTAAAAAATGTCTTATATTAAGAATGCATTTGCTAAAGGTAACAATTATTGGCTTTGGTGGAAACATACCGAGTGCTTTCTTGAAAACTCATCAAACATTCTAATAATGCCAAAACACCTGTAAAAAATAATCTCAGTAAACTATTAGAAAAAACATAGCATGAGTCAGTAAACTAATCTGAAAGTCAAAAGCAAGTCAATTATATACCTATCACTCGTGAGGCGAGATAACCAGAGTACCACACCTATGCAGTTGCGAAGACATGGCTGCCCCTGACTAAGCTTGTTCCATGATTTTCCTGGAGAAAAGTTGGAATCAAAACATACTAAGCTACTCTAGTAAATAGAGCAGAATTTTTTCTTAGAAAAAAAATCAATACTCACTTCATGTTCATGTATAGCTCCATTTTGATGCACCTAACCAAAAAGCAAGTCCGAAAAATTAAGTCTCTAGAAAGTAAAAACCAATTGTAACATTGTAAAAGGCAAAGTTAAGGTTTACCATAAATCATCATCTCATCAACAGCAGCATCATCGTCATCGTCATCAATGGGTGCACAAGTAGATAGCAAAGACCAATCTGGAACATCATAACATTTCATCACTTCACCATTGGTCCACACCTATACCAATCTAAGGAATCTAAATCTCATGACTTTATTGCAAGTTTAGATAAAAGTTCAACGCTTTTGAACTTACAGAATCAGCACTGATGACGAGAGAAAGAGGAACGAAGAGAAGCTTCTTTCCTTTTCTTAGGTTCTGAGACACGACGATTCCTCTCTCTCTGTCGATAGCCATTTTCTGCAGCGGGAGCCTTAATTGGCGAGCCACCTCTGAAGAGAAGTGGCGTTCTCGACTGAATCTATCTCGCAGCCCCCATGATATGTCTCAGGGACATCCTCCACAGATCGTTTTTGGGGTCTCTCCGGTCGAAACTGAGCAGTGGATTCCGGGACGGCATCGGGACGCCGGAAGAGGTGGGAAAGTGAGGGTTAGAGATTGGGTTTAGGAGCTTGCGGAGTAGAGATGAAGATCCATGCTGGACGTCAAGGAAACGGAAAGGTCGACATGAGTAAGATTAGGGAAAACGGCGTGGTTGAAGATTGAAGAACAATAATAAAGCCCTAATAGACTGAATCAGAAAACGCAGAGTTTCAGTTAAACCAAACACGGAAAACCCTATTCAGACCAAAGTCCAAATCTATTTGATCAAACAAAGCCGGACACAATGCGGGACCCATAGTCTTTAAAAAGTTGCATACGTAGATGCTTTTAGAAGAGGCAAAAGTGCCTCATTATATATATGATTTTGTTTTATAAATACGTTTACTGCTGTCATAAATTTTTTAAGAGTGAACTTTACCAATAAAACTACAGGTATTGTACAAGAAATTTTTAACTAAGATATTACATGATTATAAAATAGTACTCCCACCGTTTCTTATTACGTGATGTTTTCTTTCTGTAAAAATATTAAAAAAATTATCTTTAATCAAAATTATTATTAAGATATTTTTCCACATTACCTTTTGTAAAACAAACAAAATACCCGCCCTTTAAAAGACAGGTCAGAATCTAATGATTTTTTAAAACCTTACACTTAACAACTAGTGTACCATTAGTGATTCTCTCATTCTATCTTTATATATGGCGGTTTCTCCCTAAAGAAAATACTGATTCAAACCCTCTCAGTTCATATCCTTAAATTCGATCATTAACAAGCCCTCCGTTTAGAATCGTCTCAACTATCACCCATGTTACCCAAAACAAAAGTTGGCTGAATGTTATTTTTTCTGCTCGGAGGAAAAAAAATACTCTCTAATCATGGGCGGAGCCATGGAGGGTTCTCTTGATTCTTATCCTCTCGAGATAGTACTCTTATTCAAAATCTACGCAAAATTAGAGATGTCAATTCAGATTTTGGTCTGATTCAGTTCAGTTTTTCTTGTTTATGATATTTCCCTTTATAAATTTTAGCTGATATATTGAAATTAATCTACTTTAATTTAGTTTACTTTTTATATATTTTTGATTTACTGGATTTTAAACCGAAAGCCATAAATATATTTAATTTTTATAAGTTTTAGTTTACATAATTAGAAATAAGATTTCCGAGAGAACAAAATATTTCCAGTATTATACTTTTTAAACAGAAAATTTTCTCTATTTTATAACTATCAAGATGAATATAGTTAGAGTAATTATTAACAACAAAAAAAAATAAAAACAAAGAGTATGATCACTTCTCTAAAATTAAAAATAAGAAAATAATAATTAGCACAAAAATCTGTCAGAATATATATATATATATATATATATATATATATATATATATATATATATATCTATAATTTCTGAAACTGAAATAAAATTAAAATATCATGATCACATCAAAAAAGTAACTTGGTGTATACATTGCTAACTATATTATATAGTTTACATACTACTGCATATATCTGATAAATTGTTTTATTGATGTAAATTTTTATTTAAATTAAAATTTAAAACTATCAAATTTTAGTATCTATACTAGCAATTGATATATTAAAATTCTGTTTTTAGTATTTAGAAGTGTAGATTTTGGATCATAATATTTCTAGTAATAACTAATAACTAAAGCATCATTACCCAACTTGAATTTGAAATCATTATAGAAGAATCTCAGCAGCACTAAAATTATTAAAAACCACATATATAAAAGACCAACAAATTCCAATAGCTAATAAAATAATATATTATCAACAATCTAGATTTTAGAAATTATTAAGAAAAATAAAAATAATTACAAAATATTATCTATGTTTTCTCACACACAAAACAATTCGAGCAAAACATACAACATACGGCACTTCACTAGAGCAACCCCAATGGAAAATGAGTAATTATTGGGTTTACTGTCTAAAGTGAATTTTTAAGTTCACCAAACCAATAGGATTTTGTTATTTTATATTTAATAAATATTGTCAAGTTATATTATATTTTTAAAATTAAAAAATACAAATAAATAAAAAGTAATAGTAGTTGAAAAAAAAACTTAAAAAAATATTTTTATTACTATTATCAAAATACTAACCCCTAAACCCTAAAACTTAAATCCTAAACATTAAAACTCTTCGATAAACTCTAAACCCTTGGATAAATCATAATTCTTTAACTTTTTAAAAAATAATTTTAATACTGTCAACAAAACACTAAACCATGAACCCTCAATTTTAAATCCTAAATCCTAAACCCAAACTCTTGCGTAAACTCTAAACCCTTGGATAAATCATAAACCCTAGGATTTATAATTTATCCAAATGTTTACGATTTACCCAAGGGTTTAGGGTTTAAGGTGTAGGATTTAGGGTTTAATGTTTTGCTGATGGAATTAAAAATATATTTTTTAATTTTATTTTTTTTGTAACTACTATTATTTTTATCTTTTAATTTTAAAAGCATAATATAACTCAAAAGTATTTGTTTCATTTTTCAAGAGATACTGAATATGAAATAGCAAAATTCTATTGGTTGTAAAAGTTCACTATGTAGGGTGAATTTAAAATTTTCTCATGAAAAATAGAGCTGGGAATTTGAGTCTAAATCCGTGGCCCACTTTTTTTTATCCGCTGTGGGACCGATGTGCGATCAACTGATTTAAAAATCTGCGGAGTAAGGGTCAAGTTTATTGTTTGTTCAGTGGGTGTAAATTAACCTAATTTAAATTATGGATACCCACCAACCTGCTAATTAAAAATATTTTTTTTTTTGAAAATATGTAAAATACAATATTAATATGATTATCACTATATATATAATATATTATTTCCAAAAATAAATAATTAAAATATAAGTAAAATTAAAAATTACCCATGGAAAATAATTTTATAAATATATATATTTTCTGTTGTTAAAGTACATAATAAAATATAATTAAGCTAATTATTTTCAAAACTAATACGACTCCACAAATTATCTGTGAGTCACCGGCAAATTTTGACGGAATAGGTGTGGGATGAGTATTTTTACTTTGTTAGTTGGATTTTTGAATCAAATAAATGATTTAACCTGTGGCGAGGGGAGGCAGGATGGGTTGTTCCTCAAAACCAACACTAGAGGAAAGTTCTCAACATGGATGTCTCAGTATATATATTAAGATTTAATTATAGATATCTTAGAATTATGAGAATTCTAACCGAAAGTCTCTTATTTTTTCCTTGGGATTGCTCTTATATTTAAAGAAATATAATACTATTAATAACTGCTTTCAGGATTGTCAAGGCAGAAGGAATTGGCAAGTACCTCGGGTTGCTAGAAACTTTTGGCCGCTGCAAAAGAGACGTCTTTACAAGTCTGGTGGACAAAATCCGCCAGCGATCCCACTCATGGACATCAAAGTTTCTGTCAGGGGCAGGGAAACAAGTTCTCCTCCAAACTGTTCTCTCTGGGCTTCCTAACTACCCCATGTCAAGCTTCAAGATCCCCAAATCACTCTGTTAGTGTATCCAATCGGTTATCACCAAATTCTGGTGGGACAGTGCCCCTGATAAGAAAAAGATAGTGTGGGTTTCATGGGATCGAATGGCAATTCCAAAATGTGTGAGAGGCCTGGGTTTTATAGATCTAGAAACCTTTAATGATGCACTGCTTGCAAAATTGGGATGGAGAATCATGAACAAGCCCGACTCTTTACTTGCTAGAGTGCTAAAAGGAAAGTACTTCTGGGACTGCACCTTCCTAGAGTGTTCCCCTAAACACGCTTCTTCCCATGGTTGGATTGGAATTATGGCAGGGAAAGCAGTCCTTGAAAAAGGTCTCGGGTACATTATAGGAGATGGAGCTATTATCAAGGTCTGGTAGGATGCTTGGCTCTCCTCGGCTCAGCCTATGACACCTATAGGACCACCAACATTCGCTAGTCAAGAGCTTAGAGTTAAGGATCTCCTACTCCCACACTCAAACGATTGGAACCTGCCTCAAGTTCGTCTCCACTTACCTCATTATGAGGATGTTATTAGACAATTAATACCCAGTGCACTTAAACCACCAGATACGCAAAGTTCCACCACCTCTCTGTTTTGGCAACTAATTTTTTCCAAACAGATACGCCAAATGTGTGGTACCTATAAGCGCATTCTTTGCATCCAGCCTGTGGTAAATTCCTGTTTTATACACAGTAAACATAGTTGGTTTATTGTACAAAGATATTAATACATGATACCTTTTAGTCATACTTGCTTCCCGAATAGTCTCTTCTCTTTCTTAATATTATATCCTCCTTTGTGCAGGTTCGGCAATACCGCATACTTGCACATTTCTGTTGCCTTCATTCAGATGCTTAAAGCTCTAAGTATGTGAAGCATTCACATTTTTTTGCTACAGAGTCTACATTAGTAGAGACTTTCCGTTCATTGTACAAAGATATTAATACATGATTTTGGAATTTCAGTTCTTGTAGCAACATTTATCATGGCAGTTATTTGCAGCACTGACAAACCTGGGTGCGACGTGTTCTCAAACATGTTGCTGGTCAGTGTTGGAGTTGTGATATCTTCTTATGATAAGCAAATTCAGTACACTTAAAGAGGCAAAAAGGATCTCATTTTCTTTCATTTGTGGTTGCAGCTGAGGGTGCTATGTTTTACTTGAATTGAATCCGATGGTATCCTTAAGGGCACTAAGAGACCACATAAAGTTCCAACAATAATGTGCACATTTGCTATTGTTTCTTAACAATGTTTCTTACTCTAAAAATAATAATAAAAAAAGCTAAGAACTCAAAATTAAATCTCAGCAATAATGTTTTTCTTAAGCAAACA